GAGGGGCAGAGAGAGATCAGTACAAGACACATCGATTGGTTGCCTCCCTCCACAACCCCAACTGGGGCTGGGGATCAAACCTGCAACCCAGGCACATGCCCTTGACCAGGAATCAAACCCACAATTCTTCAGTCTGCAGGCTGACACTCCAACCGTAGCAAAACTGGCCAGGGCTTTAATTTAATTTAATTATTATTATTATTGATTTCAGAGAGAGGGAGGGAGAGAGAGAGACAGAGAGAGAAAAAAAATCTATGAAAGAAACATCCTTTGGCTGCCTCTTGCATGCCCCCTACTGGAGATTGAGCCCATAATGCAGGGGTGTGCCCTGACCAAGAATTGAACTGGCAACCTCCTGGTGCATGGGACAACCCTCAACCAACTGAGCCACACTGGCTGGGCCCAGTTTTCTAATTTTTATAGCAAAAACATAAGTCTAGATTTTGTTACTCCTTTATGTCTAGAATCAGAAGTTCCATAAACTAATTTGCGGTAGGTTCAAAGATATTACTGTCCAACCAGATGTTAGATATATGAATGATGAGGAAATGGGATAAAAAGAAGTAGGTGTAGGACTATACAATAAAGTCAGATGTAGGATCAAGACATAAAGTGTATGTTCTTTGTGCCTTCGTTGTCAACAAGGTCTCCCATAAATTTGGCTTTGAACTTATCAGAAACCAGAGTAAAGACCAACATTATCAGGTACAAGGTTTATAGTATCTGCCACAGTAGAAAAATATACTTTTGAGACTCTCAGCTTTTCCTGGTACTAAGATGTGTGAAGCCCAGGATGGGTTGGCTCAGAAGTTAGAGCTTTGGCCCTGGCCAGTTTGGCTCAGCGGTTAGAGCGTCGGCCTGCAGTCCGGAGAGACCCGGGTTCGGTTCCCGCTAAGGGCACGTACTTCAGTTGCAGTTTGTCCCCGGCCCTGGTTGTTCATGCAGGTTGCAGCCACTCGATGTGTCCCTTCACGTCAGTGTTTCTCTCTCTCTCTCCCTCCCATTCTATCTGTACAAAAAATGGAAAAATATCCTCGGTTGAGGATAAAAAAAAAAAGAAGTTAGAGCTTTGGCTCTCAGACCAGAAGGTCGTGGATTTGATTTCCGTTCAAGGGCGTGTACCTGGGTTGCAGGTTTGATTTCTCAGCCCTGGTTTGGGTCATACAGAAGGCAACCAATCAATGTGTCTCTCTCACATTGATGTCTCTCTCTTTCTCTCTCTCTCTCTCCCCCCACTCCCTCTCCCCTTCCCTACTTCCCTCCCTTCTACTCTATCTAAAAATTCAATGGAAAAATATCCTTGGGTGAGGATTAACGAAAAAATCATATAAAAAGATGTGTGAGGACATTTTTTTAGAAGGAACACTATGTCTGCCCTGGCCGGTTTGGCTCAGCGGTTAGAACGTAGGCCTGTGGTCCAGAGAGACCTGGGTTCGGTTCTCGCTAAGGGCGTGTACCTTGGTTGCAGTTTGTCCCCGGCTAGTTGGTCGTGCAGGTGGCAGCCACTCGATGTGTCCCATTCACGTCGATGTTTCTCTCTCTCTCTCTTCCTCTCTCTCCCTCCCACTCTATCTGAACAAAATATGGAAAAGTGTCCTCGGGTGAGGATAAAAAAATTTTTTTTTAAATAAAAGGAACACTGTGTCATATGGGACCAGTGGTCCAATATCATACAGTATCTAGAGAGCTTTTTAGAAAGCCCAGGCACAGGGGTAAAGAATCAGACTCTTAAAGGTAAGGGCCTTGAAATACATATTTTCAAAAGCTTCATATGTGATTTTAAAGCTGGCTTAGCAGTGTCAAACATCCAGAAATAGCAAAATTAAAACTATCAATTCAATAAGTAGTATTTAGGTAAGAGTTTATTGTGTCTGTGAGAACAGTTCACAACCTCACTTGGGAGTTTTCTCACTCAGAGACACAGCTCACCTGGCGTCAGGACGGCTGGTCACATGAAGCTGAGGAGCATGCCCACCATTACAGTGTTTGGTTGTACAGTGGGGTTCCAGCCCACAGATTCCTTAATACCGATGACCGTTATCAGTTTAGGAAGATGACTTACATTTTGTTATGATTACCAGAGGCAGTTACAAGAAGCACTCAAGTTAACAAATTCACTTGTTTTTCAGAATAAGCTGAATTAATTTTTACTTATTTGGTTACAGTGATTCTGCCTGTTCGGAGAATTTTCAAGCCCAATTTCCATTTGGACCTGTATTGGAATTCCCACAATAGAAAACAAAAACAAAAGCACAGATCTTCCATGACTGTTTTTTGAGGCATGCTCCACTCAGTCCCAATAAAGGTGGTTCCATTAATGAATCAACTAATAAAGCCCAAGTCTGCAGAGTTCTGATGACCTACCTGTACCCAGGGATATAATTGAGACTAGTCAGACAATTGAACGGACTGTTTAGTTTCCAGACAGTTCAGTCTGCACATGCCATTAACAGTGCATACACCATATCTTCCAGCTGTGTTCTTGGTGCAAACAGGAGACTGCAGGTGATATTTCCACAGTGTAAACATTTGGTTTTGTGTATTTTTGACACCCCGTTAGCTGAAAGAGAGGCTAATGCCTTAGAGGAGACGGTCCTTACTCAAGAAGAGCACCCACCTCTCACAGTCAGCACGGAAACAAGTGGCGTGGACCGTGAGTGCTGAGGGTCAGAGGGGAGATTCTGTGGACTGAGACACTTACAGTTTGGGGCTCAAGTTGAACCTGGAAGTTAAGATTTGGAGAGGGAAAGCTTATGGAGAAGGGTATGAGAAAAAATGAAAGAACATAATTTTGGAACGCTTCGCTAGTTGGAATGAATAAACTCCTTTTAGGGAGAAGTAAATTACAACTAATAAAGTATTTTTATTCAGTTCACGAAATACTTGAAGTACCTGAACACTATTTGGATATTTGGGCCAGAATGTATTTGAGCCCTCTTTAAAGGCAGTGAGGAAGACTTATTGTGTGTATATCGCATTAATTAGAATGGGGTAGAATCTCGAAAACACCACCAGCTGTATGGCAGCAACGACCTTAGGGGTCTGGGCTAAGGAGTTAGGGTGGAGGAGAAGGAAGATGAGGAAGCAAGAGGACAGGGTTTCATGCAAATTTTTTTAAAAATTGGTTGGCTCATTCTGCCTAATGAATTAGGAGTGCCAATCCTAATCTCAACCCCCTAAAACATCTGACCCCAGTCTAATTTTCCAGCTTAATTCTCATTACTCTCCTGCAGGAAAAGAGGACTGTTCGTTTTTCCTGAGACGTGATTTGAGTGTACATTTCTTCTGCCTTCGATCCTTCATGTCCTGTCCTTGCCCTCCCACCCTGTGCTCACCTTTGAAATCCTTCCCAATCTCCCTGCCCCATGCAAGCTGTAATAACTTTGTCCCAGTGGGTCCCTGTGGCCTAGTGTATTTCTTCCTTGACATTTATATTTTGCTTATCATGTAAAATGTTATCCCCTAATTTTATTCTGTGTATTCTTTGAGTTCAGGAACTTAGTATATCTTGCTTGTCCTAATTCCTGGGACATTTAACAGGCTTTGTACATAATTTGTGCTTTATAAAATGCTCTTTAGAACTAGGTAAATAGTTATCAGGAAATAACTGAATAGATTGATCATAAAAACTCATAGTACCTGTTCATATTTACCAAGTACTACAATCTATATGTGTGGATTTAAATTTATAATCATTGCTTATGAGATCTCTTAGCAGCACTGGTCTAGACCAGGTGTCAGGCACACTTTTTCTGTCAAGGACCACATAGTAAATGTCCATGGCTTCCACATGTTCTCTATTAGACATCCTTCGTCTGCTTCACAATAGGCTGTGGCCAGATTGGGGCTGCTGGTTGTAGGTGGGTACCTGTGATCTAGACCATGAATTCACTTATTCCTATTTGATGTTTGTGTTTGTTTCTTTGTTACCTCTGTTAGCATAAAAGGTTTTGTTTTTCTTACATTCCAATTGTTCCTTAGTAAACTATTTTTCACTGACAGTACTTTCAAACCAATTAGTATCACAAAAATAGACAACCACATATGTGCCTCTGTTGTCATACAGCACCTATTTGATGCATTGAAGTCTTTATCTTTTAAATATACCATAAGTATATACCTTTGTTTTAGAGATACAAGGTGGGGCAAACATGGGTTGTGAGTACATGAAACATAGTTTATTCTCGTATTATTACTTATTAATTATTGCATTATTTTCCATAGAACAACTTTAAACTTACTTTTGCCCCATGCTGTATATACTAAATATTTACAAATGAATGAATATCTTATTTTTTAAAACAATGGGGCCCTGGCCGGTTTGGCTCAGCAGTTAGAGCGTCGGCCTGCGGTCCAGAGAGACCCGGGTTCGGTTCCCACTTAAGGGCATGTACCTTGGTTGCAGTTTGTCCCCAGCCCTGGTTGGGTTGTGCGGGTGGCAACCACTTGATGTGTCCCTTTCATGTCGATGTTTCTTTCTCTCCCTCCCACTCTATCTGAACAAAAAATGAAAAAATGTCCTCGGGTGAGGATATTTAAAAAAAAATGGGGACAAGGAGTAGGTGAGGGTATAGGTCAGGGGTTGACAAACTTGTTTCATAAAGGACCAGGCCATGAATAGTTTATCTGCAGGCTGTGCAGTGTGTCAGGTCTCTGTTGTTGCACTAAAGCAGCCTTGACAAGGTGTGAGTGAACGAGCCTGGCTGGGTCTTACTGAAACTGTTTGCAGACACAGGCAGCAGCCGGTTCAACTGTGGGCCTGCCTCCCGGCCTTGGGCAGTGAGGTGGCCGTGTGCTGGACCTGGCTGCCGCCAGTGATGAGCAGTGGTGTTCATGGCACTTCGTGACAGCTGTCTTATGTTTGCAATGTTCCATAATAAAGAGCTAAGACAACTTTCTTTAAAAGATAGGTTAATACAAAGAAAAGACTTGTCATTTGTTTATCTAAATTCATTCGTAAAAAATTGTTTCATCTCTTCTGAAATTATTTCTTACACTAGCTTCACTACAGACTTCACTGCAACAGTATGAAGAAAAAAACACCAAAATCAAGCAATTGCTCATGAAAACCAAGAAAGAACTGGCAGATTCAAAGCAGGCAGTATGTTAATTCCTCAGTGTCACATTTCAGTACTTATTTATAGTGTATTTATGAGTAACTCCTTTTTTTTAATTTAACCAAGATTCTTTTTCTGTAGGAAACTGATCACTTAATGCTTCAAGCATCTCTAAAAGGCGAGCTAGAAGCCTGCCATCAGCAAGTAGAAGTCTATAAAGTAAGATTCTTTTTACTTTTTAAGATTCAGAAAAACGTTTCCATGTAGACGTAAGGTACCATTTAGGGATTTTGCTAAGTATTACATTATGTCAATCGGATACACAGCCAGCCCTTCCTAGCTGCAGGTTTCGCATCCTCAGAGTCCACCAACCACTGATGGAAACAGTGCTTGTGATCCACAGTTGGAAACCTGCCAGTGTGCAGAGCCAGCTGCATGCGCTGTTCTGCACCATTTCATTACGGGCTTGAGCGTCCTCCAAGTTTCTGGCACTGATCCCCCACAGATGCTGGGGGTTGAGTGTATTTTTTTCCCTAAATATTCTTCCTCAATTAAACACCTCTTAATGAACTATAACATGTAGTCTGGAATTTTTTCATGATTGATTTTTATTTAAGGAAAAGTAATTTATTAAGAAATAGATAATATTAATAATAGATAATTCTGATATTTAATTATGTCCCTTAATTATTTGAGACTCATGTCTACAAACTCAAGTTGATGTTGAAGGAAAATCTGTGAACAAGTGGAATCGTATTTGCCAGACCTTCACTGAGAGCTTTGCCCCCAGATTCAGCTGGCGGAGATGACGGCAGAGCGGCACAGCGCCCACGAGCGCCTGAAGACGTCGGCGGAGCAGCACCAGCGCGCGCTGAGCGCGCACCAGCAGAGGGTGGCGGCGCTGCAGGAGGAGTGCCGCGCTGCCAAGGTGCGTCCGGGCTGCACGCGCAGGCCCGCCGGCCACCGGGCACAGCCCACCCGAGGGCTGCCGTCTGGCTGTTCAGGGTTTGCTGTCATTAAGAACACCTGTTGGCCCTGGCCAGTTTAGCTCAGTGGTTAGAGCGTCAGCCCACGGTCCAGAGAGACCCGGGTTCGGTTCCCGCCAAGGGCACGTACCTCGGTTGTAGTTTGACCCCGGCTCTGGTTGGGTCGTGCGGATGGCAGCCCCTCGATGTGTCCCTTTCACGTCAATGTTTCTCTCTCTCCTTCCCACTCTATCTGAACAAAAAAATGGAAAAATGTCCTTGGGTGAGAATACCAGCTCAGCTCATCTGACCCCAACCCTAATCCCATCCCAGCCCTGTCACTTGGATAACTTGTTTTTCTGCTAAAAGGAAAGACGTGTACATGTTGTTTTCATTTCAATCTTGTTTTGCAATTTCTGTGAGTAAGAAAGTTACTGTTTTAAAGTTTCTATTAGAGAAGTGGTCTAGTTCCTTCTGAGAACTAAATGATTATAAAATAATATCCTGGTAGAGTGGCTTTTGGCGCCTCCTGCGTACATACAAAACAAGCAGCGCAGGGGCGTGGTCAGAGGCACAGCTCTTACCTAAGCCACGTGGCAAAGGGTCATGGCAGTCGATAGATCACTTCAGGAAAGCAGAAGGCCTACGATTTAATTTTCCCACTCTCTTTTGAAAACTAAAGTTCAAGTAACTTAATTTCTTTGAAGTATTTTTTCTTGTACTTGTATTAAGAGCACATATCATGTGAAAATCTTCCTAAACTTCCAAAGGCAAATAATGCCATTATAAAACATGAGTAGTAAATTAATGTATCAGGGGTCAACCCATGGTCTTTAGTGCCAGTTCAGTGCCAACAGGAATCACCGCTTTGGGGTGCAGTGAAGAAGGAACCTTAATGCTATGCGGTGCAGGCACTCACCTGTGATCCAGCACCAGGAGGAAGACAGCATGGCTGTAGGTGGCCCTGGGACCAGGCACACTGGCTGGCCCCTGTCCTTCCAGACAGCTCCATTCCGCTCCTCAACGGGCTGCTTTGCCCTGTGCTGTCTGGTCCACTGTTCAGTGAGGCATTTGATGGTGTTTCAGCTCAGCTGAGGAAATGCAGTCTTCAATAGAAAGGAAAAGCCTGCTGAGGGCCAGAGGAGAGCTGACTTTATAGACAGCAATCCCTGCCCCCTCCTTGATTGGTCCATTGTCATGCAGTTTGGGCCAAAAGGCATTGTCCTGATTGGTCAGATTAGAACCACTGTAATTGGTCAGCAAAGAAGCTGAGGGATACGACTGTGCAGCTCTGATTGGCTGGGGAAAGCCTCAGTCCTATTGGTTGACACAGGGTTCTAGGAACTCTCTCTAGGGGCTGGCTTGGATGGCAGGAGTGCAGGTGGGCAGGGGCAGTTCAGGGTAGGCTTCCCCTGAAGTGCAGTTTGCACAAGGGACCCCTTCGTAAAAATGGCTGTTAGGCTTCATATTTTTTGTTTAATTTTTACTTATTTATTCATTCATTCATTCATTTATTTTTGAGAGAGAGAGAAAGGGGAAAGAGAGAGAGAGAGAAATGTCAGTTTGTTGTTCCACTTAATTTATGCATTCATTGGTTGATTCTTTTATGTGCCCTGACTGAGATCGAACCCATAACCTTGGTGTATTGGGACGATGCTCTAACCAACTAAGCTGTCAGGCCAGGGCTAGGCTTTGTTTTATAAAATGAGCCCATTTAGGGACCAGGATTAGGATCCCTTCTTAGCAGGTGTCTTTCTCAGGGTCCACACAGGGAATAAAACACGGTAGACAAAATCACATCCTTCAAAATCTTTTAAAAAGTGAAAGGCCAAACACAGTTTTTAACCAAAGTTAATAATTGGGGGCTCAAGAGTGTCAGCCATTTTCCTCATTTTCTAAAATAGGTTTTCATCTTAATTCATTAATCTCTGAAACACATTAGCCAATCATGTTACAACAGAAAATGCAATAGAAAAACTTTTCTCTTTTAAATGTCCTAGATGGAACAAGCTGCTGTGGCCTCAGAATTTGAAAGCTACAAAGTCCGAGTTCATAATGTTCTAAAACAGCAGAAAAACAAATCTGTGTCTCAGGCGGAAACAGACGAAGCTAAACAAGAAAGGTAAAGTGTGAACTACAGGAACCACACAGGGTTTTTCTCCCAGGGCAGGCTCTCCACCAAGTAGGTTGAATCCTGCTTTGGTTTCTTTGGACTGGAATTTTACAGGTAATTACCGACGAAAACAGTTTTTGGCTTCATTGTGTCCCCAGACAGCAGCAGGAAAATGTGCGGCACTGTGAGGGGCACTGTTACCAACTCAAGAGGATGTGTGAACAGTGAAACCAGGACACAGGCTTTGAGATATAGACATAATGTCTCTTGTAGTAGGATCCAGTCGTAGGAGAAATACAAAGTTACGTTAGGATTAGGTTTTCCAGTTTTGAAAGTTTAGAAGTAGAATAAAAATTCTTCCATGATGACCTTATTCACTATTAATTATGCTAAACAGAAATTTCTTAACATTTTATTTATTTCAAAAAGTTTTTAAAATTACCCAATTTTGGTCTAGAATTAAGTTTTTCTTAAGTTTACGATCATCTCAAGTCCCATTTCAATAGTGTATTATTTAATGCTTTTTTAAAACTAGCAAATAAATCAGTTTTGTAAATTATTTTAAAATACACTTGGAAATAAAAAGTAGGTAGGGCATTCTAGGGCATGTGTGCTTTACTTTTATAAGTAGAAGTTCAGTGTTAAAACAGTTTTACATTTGGCTCTTACTGTTCAAAGTAGGACTAAATACCCTGCAATATCTGTATGTTTATACTTGTATTAATTTTTGTTTAGGTGTCCATTAAAATAACAACTATAGGATGAAAATGATGAAATATTTTCTCAATCATTTTGTTTTGTTTTTTAAATCCTCAACCGAGGATATTTTTCCATTTATCTTCAGATAGAGTAGGAGGGAGGGAGGGAGGGAGAGAAAGAGAGAGAGAGAGAGAGAGAAACATTGACATGAGACACATCGACTGGCCACCCCCACACAACCAGGATACATGCCCTTGACCAGAATCAAACCCATGACTCTTTGGTCCACAGGCCAACACAACTGCTAAGCCAGACCAGCCAGGGCACAATAGCTCATCTTAAAGCTGACATTGAATATTGACGCAATATAAAAATGTCACCATTTGTAAGACTTGTTAATTGTGCCAGAATTGGGGGTTCAAATTATTTTAATGTTATGTGTTCTTTCTACTTTCTTATACATTACTTTTTAAAAGAGAAAAGAAAGCCCGGCCGGGGTGGCTCAGTGGTTGAACGTCGACCCTTGCACCAAGAGGTCACTGGTTCCATTCCCAGTCAGGCACATGCCCAGGTTGTGGGCCCGATCCCCAGTGGGGGGCATGCAGGAGGCAGCCAATTGATATTCTTTCTCATCGATGTTTCTATCTTTTTCTCTCCTTCTCCTTTCCTCTCTAAAATCAATAAAGACAAAAAACAATTTTTTTAAGCTAATATACTGTATTATACTAGTTGTGGCAGAATTACCAGATAGAATTCAAGAGCTAGTTACTAAGTCCAAGTTTTCCAGGGACTTTCTTTCTCCAAGTACTTTTTTTGTTTTTCTCCAGGAACTTGTTTAACTATAGCTTGGTCTGACCTACCATTCTCATAATGGTTAGCTTAGAACTGTGTGATTTTTCTTTTTAAATCAATGCATAGCCTTACAATACAAAATAGGTTATTTTGATGCCTTTTAATGCTCTGCTCCATTTGAATGTGAAACTTTTAAGTTCAAACATTTTTTGTAAATCTGTAGTGCCTGAGATCTAAAATCTGACTATAATGTCTTTTACATTATATTTAATGCTAGTCTCTGAATTCTTCTGATTATTGCATTTACTTTAAATTTTTTTTTTTTTTTATCTTCACCCAAGGACATTTTTTCATTTTTTGTTCAGGTGGAATGGAAGGGAGAGAGGAGAAGAGAGAGAGAGAGAGTAACATCCATGTGAAAGGGACACATCGAGTGGCTGCCACCCGCACGACCAACCTGGGCCGGGGACAAACTGCAACCGAGGCAGGCACACATAGCGGGAACCCAACCCGAGTCTCTCTGGACCGCAGGCCAACGCTCTAACCGCTGAGCCAAACCGGCCAGGGCAGTTTGATTATTACATTTACTTTAGAATCATCCGTAACACTAGCAGGAGGATGCCACTGAAATAGTAAAAGTATAATGTCCTAGAAACTACAAAATCATGTTCACCAATTTAAAAAAAATTTTAACTGTTTATTTCTGTTTCAGAGAACACCTGGAAATGCTGGTTGACCAACTAAAAATCAAGTTACAAGATACCCAAAATAATTTGCAGGTCACTGTGTCTGAACTTCAGACACTGCAGTCTGAGCATGACACGCTGCTGGAGCGGCACAACCGGATGCTGCAGGAGACGGTGTCCAAGGAGGCGGAGCTCCGGGAAAGGTAGGCCGGCGCCCGCAGCTGGTCCCAGGCCGCTGGGGGGCCTCACGGACTCCTCGAGTGTTGCTTTTGGCATAAACACACATTGAAAACAAAAAATAGATATTTCTAAAGGCTTGGCAACTGCATGTTCTACCTTAAAACTTTCCTTTTGATGGTTTTTGTACTTAGCTTTTTATTTTATTTTTTTTACTTTTTTTTATTAATTAGTTTTTGTTACAGATGTTTCTCCTTTTTCCCCCACTGATTCCCCCCGCCCCCTCCCTCACTGCCCTGTCCCCAGCTTTGCTGTCCATGTTCATTGGTCATGCATACATGCACATAAGTTCTGTGGTTTATCTCTCCCCCACCACCACCTTTTCTAGGGATTGTCAGTCTGTAACCCACTGCCACATCTCTGGGACTGACTACCCCATGCCTCAGACTGTTATGTTCATTATATTCCACAAATAAGTGAGATCATCTGATACTTGTCTTTCTCTGTTTGGCTTGTTTCACTTAGGATGATATTTTCCAGGTCCTTCCATGTAGTCACAAAGGATAAGAGATCTTTCTTTCTTACAGCTCTGTAATACTCCATTGTGTATATGTACCACAGATTTTTTATCCATTCGTCTACTGATGGACACTTGGGCTGTTTCCAGATCTTAGCTATTGTAAATAGTGCTGCTATGAACATGGGGGTACATATATTCTTTATGATTGGTGTTTCAGGCTTCTTAGGGTATATTCCTAGAAGTGGGATCACTGGGTCAAATGGCAGTACAATTTTTAATTTTTTGAGGTAACACCATATTGTTTTCCATAGTGGCTGCACCAGTCTGCATTCCCACCAGCAGTGCACTAGAATCCCCTTTTCTCCACACCCTTGCCAACCCTTATTGTTTGATGAGTTGTTGATGGCGGCCATTCTGACAGGTGTGAGGTGATACCTCATTGTTGTTTTAATTTGTATCTCTCTGATGATTAGTGATGATGAGCATTTCTTCATATGTCTCTTGGCCATTTGTATGTCCTGTTTGGAGAGGTGTCTATTTAGTTCCTCTGCCCATTTTTTAATTGGGTTTTTTGTCTTCCTTTTGTTGAGTTCTATGAGCACTCTATATATATTGGAAATTAACCCCTTATCTGATATATCATTGACAATTATGCTCTCCCATATAGTGGGTAGCCTTTTCGTTTTGATGATTGTATCTTTAGCTGTACATAAGCTTTTGAGTTAGATGTAGCCCCATGTGTTCATTTTCTCCTTTGTTTCTATTGCCTTAGATGATGTATCAGTGAAAATTCTGCTGCGTATGATGTCTGAAATTTTGTTGGCTACATTTTCTTCTAGGATTTTTATGGATTCATGAGTCACATTCATGAGTATCCATTTTGAGTTTATTCTTGTGTAGGGTGTAAGTTGATGGTCTAGTTTCATTTTTCTGCATGTAGCTGTCCAATTTTCCCAACACCAGTTATTAAAGAGGCTGTCCTTACTCCACTGTATGCTCTTGCCACCTTTGTCAAATATTAATTGAGCGTATTGCCTTGGGTCCATTTCTGGGTTCTCTATTCTGTTCCACTGGTCTATATGCCTGTTCTTGTGCCAGTACCAGGCTGTTTTGATTACAGTGGCTTTATAGTATAACCTGAAAACTGGTAATGTGATCCCTCCAACTTAGTTGTTCTTTTTCAAGATTGCTGTGGCTATTCAAGGTCTTTTTTGGTTCCATATGAACTTTTGAAGTACTTGTTCTAATTCTGTGAAGTATGCCGTTGGTATTTTGATGGGGATTGCATTGAATCTATAGATTGCTTTGGGTAATATGGACATTTTAATGATGTTAATTCTTTCAATCCATGAACAGGGTATGTGCTTCCACTTTTTTATATCTTCCTCTATTTCTTTTTTCAATGACCTGTAGTTTTCTGTAAATAGGTACTTTATTTCTTTGGTTAAGTTTATTCCTAGGTATCTTAATTTTTTTGCCGCAATGGTAAATGGGATTGTTTGCTTAGTTTCTCTTTCTGTGAGTTCATTGTTGGTGTATAAGAATGCCATCGATTTCTTGATGTTAATTTTGTATCCTGCTACTTTTCCAAATTCATTTATTAAGTCTAGAAAATTTTTGATGGAGTCTTTGGGGTTTTCTACATATAGTGTCATGTCATCTGTGAATAATGACAGTTTTACTTCCTCCTTTCCAATTTGGATCCCTTTTATTTTTTCTTCCTGTCTGATTGCTGTCGAGATATGATCCCTCTGTTCCCACATTGCTGAGCGTTTTTATCAGAAATGGATGCTGGATTTTGTTGAAGGCTTTTTCGGCATCTATTGATGTGATCCTATGATTTTTATTCTTCATTTTATTAATGTGGTGTATCACGTTTATTGATTTGCGAATATTGTACCAGCCTTGCATCTCTGGGATGAATCCCACTTGGTCATGGTGGATAATTTTTTTGGTGTATTGCTGGATCCGATTTGCTAGTATTTTGTTCAGGATTTTGGCGTCTATATTCATCAGGGATATATCTTTCTTTGTAGTGTCTTTTTCGGGTTTTGGAATTAGAATTATGCTGGCTTCATAAAACGAATTTGGAAGTCTTCCTTCTTAAATTTTTTGAAATAGTTTAAGGAGAATGGGTGTTAGTTTTTCTTTGAATGTTTGGTAAAACTCCCCCATGAAGCCATCCGGCCCTGGGCTTTTGTTTGCTGGGAGAGTCTTGATTACATCTTCAATTTCTTCTGTTGTTATTGGTCTGTTCAAGTTTTCTATCTCTTACTGATCCAGTTTTGGGAGACTTGTGTTTCTAGAAATTTGTTCATTTCGCTTAGATTGTCGAATTTGTTGCCATATAATTGTTGATAGTAGTTAACGATCCTTTGTATTTCTGTGGTGTCAGTTGTTACTTCTCCTCTTTCAATTCTGATTTTGTGTATTTGGGTTCTCTTACTTGTTTCTTGGTGAGTCTAGCTAAGGGTCCATCAACCTTGTTTATCTTTTCGAAAAACCAGCTCTTTGTTTCATTGATCCTTTGAATTGTTTGTTGTTTTTTTTTTTTTGGACTCTATGTCGTTTATTTCTGCTCTGATCTTTACTATTTCCTTCCTTCTACTTGTTGTAACCCAGGAGATCGACCACACTCAGACTCCATTTTTCAGTTTTTGGGGATGTTTTATTACCTGCGCAGGGACTGCAGCCAACCTACACAGAGGAGAACTGCAGCCCCGAGCTCAGGGGGAGGGTTGCTTATATAGGGCCGAGGTCACTCAAGAGTTTAGCAGAGCAAGCAAGCTGCTTGTACAGAAGCGGAGGCAGTTAGCGATAAGCAGGAGGGAACGGAGGGGGGAGGGAGCTGAGGCGAAAGGGAACTGGGTCAGCATACATCTGTCCTGCTATTCATTCCATTACCCAAGTTTTAAAAACTAACAAATTCGAGACAGATATCAGCGGTCAGTCAGGTGCAATACACACATGTTGAACAGTTACAGTTTTATGGGGTAAAGGGAGCTTCAGTTTCTCCCTATCAGTTTCTTTACAGAGCATGCAGGACACTCTGGCCTTGGGGCCGTTTGTGTCCTCCCTTTTCTTGAAGGATGTTGCTTTTCAAATTCCCAGTGAAGGTCAAACTCTAGTTAATTTTTATGGGGCTAAAGCCCTCTATAACATTCCCCATTGTTCATCTTGCTGTCTCTGAGGTTGTTAATTAGGGCAGCTTAAAGACAAGTTGGATTCTAAGGACAGTGAGCTACAACATTCCCCCCTTTTTCTTGAGAGTGGATCAAACCATTGATTCACAATTGTCATGGGGAGACAATCTCTAGTTGGATTGTGCTAAGACCCTAAGTTTTACTGATTAGACTCTCTCTCTGATGAAGGCTAGGAGTCTATTAAATTTGGATGGGTTTACAAGTTATTCCGATTAATAATTACAGTAGGGGCCCTGCTATAGCTGAAATCAGGGATGTTAGCTATGGTGACTAAATAAGTTTTCATATTAATTATGGGAGACCTGTTCTCCTTCTCTTAGTTTCTTTGTCTAGAATTTGGATGCTCTGTCTGATTATACCTGAATGGTTGGCATAGAAATAGCAGGTTTCACCTAAGGCTGCATATAGACCCTCTTCTGGTTGACATTTCTTAAAGATTTTTTTTAAATGTTTTATTTCTAAGTACCCAGTTATACTGGGGTCTAGATCTATAAAGATTCCCCTGTACAGTTATAATCAGAAAAATTAGAGTCCCGATAAACGTAAGAGTCTCATTTTAAGGGATCTGGAGAGGTCTGCACCGTTCATTCTGCTTTTTCTGCCTTCAACCAGGAATGATGCAGCTAGACCGGGATGCCGTTGACCTTGATAGCCGTTGGTGAAGGCAGGATGACAGTGTAGGGTCCCTTCCAGGCCAGAGTTAGTCCTTGGATGGTGAATTTCTTTATTTGCATCGAGTCCCTGGCTGGAAAGGGTGCACAGAGTCTGAGGTGGGCACAGGCAGGGCATCGCAGATGTGTTTATGGACGGCCTTCTGGGCAGACTGCAGGGCCTGTAAGAACTGTAAGAGGGTGAGGGGAGCAGAGTGGTCCAGTTTTCACCGGTTTCTAAAGTAAATTTGGTTAAGGTTTCCTTTAAGGTCCTGTTCATGCGCTCTACCTGCCTGGAACTCTGTGGGCAGTAAGCACAATGGAGCTTCTAATTTATATTTAATCCCTTAGAGATATCCTGTGATATCTTTTCTATCAAGGTGGGGTCATTGTCTGATCTAAGGGCTAGGAGTAGCCTAAACCTGTTACTCCCTTTATTGCATCCTAGACTATTATAATATTAGTAGGGGCAAGTTCTCCCCTCTCAGTGTCTTATCTTCTTCCCTTCCTGAGTAATCTTCTATTGTCCTGTCTTCCTGTAATATGTATGCCCCTCTCTTTCTTCTTCCTATCTTTTTATTTTTCTGCATAATCCTTCTTCAACTTACATAGACTCTCTGTGACTTTTCTAGTCCCTCCCCTGACATGAACCT